GTGTTTTCAGAAGTAATTTATTTTCCCACAAAAGTAAGTGCAGAAGAAGTGGAAAAACGCTTACAAGTGATTACATAATAGTGTGTAAACTGTGAGAAAAGTGTTTTGTTTTAATAAACAGCTTATCGGATGTGAGAAAGTGATTGAAAAAGAGTCAACACATGAGAGAGAGAGAGGCATGAAGAATATTTGATGTTTGGAAAACAGATAATGGAATTCAATGCAAATCCCATACGAGTGGTGAAGAAATGCAAACAATTGTAAGGAAAGCCGAAAAACAAACATAAGATGCGGTCACATCTCTCTCTCTTTCTCTCTCTCTCTCTCTCTCTCTCGCCACTCGTTTGTATATATTTATTGTAATCGAAACTTACAGTTAATTATTTGTAAAGAGCAGAGCCTTTAACTACAACTACCAGTGCTATAGCGGACTGTTAGGTAGAGAGAGGATAAACAGTGCAACAGTGAAGTGAATGGCAATCGTAATACACATAAAGTTTGAGTCAAAGAACAGCTGTTTTTGGAGACTGTATTCATTGAGTATCAGATGAAGTGAGTGCTCGTATGGTATACTAAACAGTGGAGTGAGTGAGTGAGGACAGGGCTACTGAATGTTTGGTATCGATTTACGTGGAAAGTACTCCTCTCACGTCTGCACTGGTAGTACATAGCGGTGCTAAAAGTGCTCAAAAACTGTTTCCCAATGAGTGCCACAAGAATTCATTCATAAAAACACTAAACATATCGATAGATATTTAACGCAAACATTAGTTTTTTCAGAGCTTTCAGTGAATGAGGAGTAAAACAGCGAAGAATTTATGTATTTTCGCACCAAAACTATTTGTGACTATTTTTTGTTGTCTAATAAATTTAAAGGAAGGCCGTAAAGGGGAACTACATCTCTATCTACTAGCGCTGGCCATCGTTTGCACATTTCAGAGAAATCGCTGCAAAGTTGGAGACAAATACTAAGAGATTTTTATCTAAATTTAGTCAATACTGCTATGACTTCCATTCATGTGTTTCAATGGAGATAACGGTGCCGTTTGGGGGCATATACTGGCACTCGTATGCCATCGTAAATGATGGCCATCAGATGCAAAGATGCAGGCGCTCTACACTTTGCTAACAAATGATCACTAAAACTAAAGAAAGAGTGAAATACACTGATGAGAGAGAGAGAGAGAGAGAGAGAGAGGAGCGGAAATGGAAAGAAAAAGAGAGATGTTATGAGGAGAGCAGATCTCTCTCTCTCTCTCTCTCTCTCTCTCTCTCTCCAAAAATAAACTCTTAGAAGAGGTCACATATTGGACGTATGGTAACACTGGAGCACTGGTAGTGTTGTGGTGTTTGTGCTGCGAATACCACTAAATAGGAAACATGGAGAGAGACAAGAGAGACAACACTCCAACTCTTGTGGTTTGGAAGCGCTATAAGAGAGAGCATTGGAGCGACACTTAAGTAATGAACGAATGGATCGTTTTTTGGACACAATCTATGGATAACTTAACAGACATTATGTTTGCGAGTGAAGAGAGATAAGCGTCGGAGAGAGGGAGAGAGAGAGAGAGAGAGAGAGCTCACAACAGAAATATGAAAATATAATATAATGTTTACAACAGAATTAGTTAGTTAGTGGAGGTGAGGGTGGGGGTCGGCGCCCGATGTCGGTGTGTGTGCCCTAACAAAAGGCTAGTGATGTGACCCTAACGTTAATCTCTACTCCACAGCCTCACATGTCGAGCACCTGCCCCTCTGCTATGTTTGCACCTTTTATATAGCCTGCTTTGGGATGACAGTTGGCTTTCCTTTTTAGGCATCATTTTCATATATTGTGAAGACATGCGTCAAAATATTTGGTAACTGTTGAGCACTGGAGTTAAATATTGGCATTTCGTATGCAAATAGAGATTATGATTACAATTATTGGCAATCAAGCACTGCATACACCGATAGACATACCATACGCATAGCTATGCATTCAAATATGTGTCCGTTTCTATGGGTTTTCTGGTTTTAGGGTTCAATGATTTACTCAAAACATTATTATTATTGAATTAAATATAAATTATTATATTTTTTCTCCCATTTTTCGATCACAATATATGTGCCCAACAAATCCTACGAGAGTAGGGTTTGGTGTGGTGTGCGTGCATTGAATGGTGTGAATGGGAAAAGTAGTGCTCATAAAAACTTATGAAAACAATTTTTTCAATACACCGGCAATGCCTGCGCTCTCTCAACACAAGTCTTACTATTGCTTTCAATATATAATATAATCTCTCATTGAGTGGAGAGAGAAGAATTGAATGCGTGTTTGGGGGCACACGTGGCCCGCCGTGTCTACCGGTGCCTGTGGTGTTGTGTCGTGCGCTGTGCACGCGCTCCGACCCAGACTTGAGGGCAAGTGTACGATCAGTACTACACAACAACAGCAGCACAAAAAAGTCGTGAATCAATGGCCCCCTCCTCAGGGTCTGGAACTATGGTTCACGAGATAATTGAGACGATCGGTTGCCATTGCCATCAATTCAGTGCTAAGATTATTGCGATTTCATTGCGTTTAATGTCAAGTCTTTTGAGTTAAGAGATATTTGTGAGACAAACGCAAAGTTGTTTTCCGTGATATGGTTTGAGTGGAAAATTAATTCAATATATCATATGATGAGAGACTGGGAGGGGATGGCAGAGAGCCTGAGATGGAGAGTCAGATAAAGTGATTAAAACAATTTGACATCAAATAGCTATTCAACACTAAGAGAGCGTTTCATTACAGAGAGGGAGAGATGGGCTGCAAAGACAAGAGGAGTCGACAACTATTTTTTGAGATCAGATTAAATGCGAGTATCAGTTGCCGTAATAATTAACTGAATTACACTTTTCAACATTTATTACAATTCTGTCAGCGTTTGTATGCATTCAATGCACTCATTCTCTTAGAGGGCATTAGATTATAGCGAATATGAATATAAGCTTAAACTTAGATTAGATGTCGAGAGAGAGAGAGAGAGAGAGAGACTTGAGAGGACTGTAGGCACGAGCGTATGGTATGGTATGACTGTGTTGTGGTGGTGGACGTAACGACAGCTGTTCGGTTCAAATCACCTCTGGTTTCCTGAGGAGGGTTTATGCGTTAGGTTCGCCAGATGTGATGTTTTGTTGCCAAAAAAGTTTTGTTGCCCTCAGTCTCTCTCTCTCTCTCTCTCTCTCTCCGGTTGTGTCGCACGAATGCAAATGCAAAGCACTCGATAAAAACGTTTTTACTCTCGCCGTTCACTTTGCGACACACTTGCAGGTCCTGTGCCGCGGCTACTGCTGGTGTGGCGCAGACCCCCTCCCCTGCCTGTGCCGTCCCAATGCTGTGAGCAATGATATCGTCTGTGCTCTGGTATCGCATCAATTGCTTAATTCTAATGCATTCCGATTCATGTGATAAGCCATTGTGGAAGTGTTGCTAAATAATTGACTGAAACTTCAATTCACTTTCCACTGAAGTCTACAACTATTTTGTGACAGAATTGCGATACAAATGCATTGCAAGAGAGAGGCTTTGCCAGTGTTTGCACTCGCATTGAAATGAAGATGCGAAATGTTTTTATGTTTTGCATTCATAGATAGAGAATAGAAAATAGAAATAATAAATAATACAAACTATTATAACTTGTAATGAGAGACAAAATAAAGAAAAAAATTAAGAGAGAGAGAGAGAGAGAGAGAGAGAGCGACATTAATATGAAGTAATAGATAAGAATTAAATGAATGCTAATAAAAAAGTAGTGTAGTCTTAGTATTGAATTAGTCTTATGGTGTGGTAGTGTTGAGCAACAATAAAAGCTAGCGATGCAAAGGAACCCAATTAGAGCTCATGTATGAGTGCACAACACATGGCAAGACATAATCGGAAGCCAATTAGTGTCTGGGCGTAGGTCTCAATATATACATAGAGTACAGCTTTGTGTCTTACATGGCTTGCGCTGGCAATAGCCCCGGCTCTCTCTCTCTCTCTCTCTCGCTCTCTCTCTCTCTCTCTCTCTCTCTCTCTGGTTTCGCAACAATAGTTCTGCACTACACTTGTTAAGGCATTCAACATATTATACACTCTATTTAAATATATATCAACAAATTACCACACCATAAGACTAATTCAATACTAAGACTACACTACTTTTTTATTAGCATTCATTTAATTCTTATCTATTACTTCATATTAATGTCGCTCTCTCTCTCTCTCTCTCTCTCTCTCTCTGGTTTCGCAACAATAGTTCTGCACTACACTTGTTAAGGCATTCAACATATTATACACTCTATTTAAATATATATCAACAAAATTGAATTAACAGCAAATCAATTGTGTTGAGACAACACAAGCATGTATTGCAATGCAATGCCAGGTATTAGGTATTGATTTGATGCAAACATATGCCCCACACATACACATTGCACTGCATATCGCCATCGGCTATAATAACACTATCGATAACTGAACTAATGATTAACGCATTGAACACACAAACGATTTGAGACTTAAATGAATATATCGAGTGAATTGTTTTAATGGAGGCCGGGATCTCGGTTTTGACAAAAAACCTGATCCCATATATAACATCTGGTGAGTGGCGTTTGGATACTGGAGTGCATTGTCGTCGGTGTGCACTGGCATTGAAGTGACGCTACATTGAACAATAGGTCTGACAATTCATTTACACGACAATTAAACAACATATCCTAACATAGAGAGAGACTGTACCGGAGCACAGGTGTGTGCCATACATACAGTGTGTGTGCCATCGCTGGCAACGCAAGAAATCGCTGAACGAATTCAACCGATTCTATCAGTTTTTTATATTTCTTTCTCTCGTTTTTTAGTTTCTTTTATCAAAATCTTTAGTTTTTTGTGTTTTTGTTCAAATGAGAGAAATATTTGTTAATCGAAAAAAGGAGAGAAACACAGAAACATTGCACAGAGAAGTGAATGCCTTATATCTGAGTCCATGTCTTACCTGTTATCCTAAATATGAAGGAAATGATGAGAAGCAGTACTAAGACGTGTGAATACATATTAGACATTGAGTTTAAATATAATGACGAAACATATGACGATTTATGATGATTATGATGATTGTTGGTATTACTACTGTTATTATTAAGATTTTTATAACTCCGATGAGTTGTGGGACTATTATTTCGTTTAATCGCTTCATTTGGCAGTCGAGAGATTCGTGAGATTAAGGCTTTGTCTGTAAGAAACGAATTGAGAAAAAACAATATTAAACGTCAAATGCATTTCAGAAACACTTAAATAGTTTGCAATAAATGTTTAAATGTTTTTGATGTGTGTTTATGCGAAATGTTAAGCAATTGTTTGGTATTTAGTTATTTACAATTGTTTTGGTAGGTTATGAGTTTGTAAGTGTGTGAGTATCGGGAGTGAGTGCTGATAGCACTGGTAGCTCAAGACAAGTGCATTTTATTGTTCAACTTATACTCGCAGTGTGTTTGGAGGCCTCTTATGTTGGATACTCTTATATATAAGGTTTAGGTCTTAAGTTATATCTTATATTGTATTTAAAAGGCTATATATCTGAGTGTCGAGCAGAGGCACGTTCCCCTCTCCTGTTGGCCTGTCATGCATTGCGAATCCTTAAACTCCCGGCACATCTTCGTGTGCCCAACACTACAACAGCCAACCCATAAGATCTCTCTCTCTCTCTCTCTCTCTCTCTCTCTCCAGTGTTGCCAATGCATGCATTCAGGTGTGAAGAGAGAGCCTTCACAGAAATATTTAACTCTGTTTTGTAGAGCACTCTACAAAATACAGTACATTTCATATACCATAAGACATAAGACAACAATCAAATGGTTCGGAATAGCTACGAAAAGCATATATTTTTCACAGGACTTTCACTTGATGTTTAGAGTTTCACTCAAGAGTGGAACCGAAGATAAAGTGTCTATTCTTTTAAATTGTAATTTTCTATTTACATACGAATTACCCATTATTTGTGAAAATATCAAACTTTATATTATATTACACACAGAATCGCACACTACATGAGTACATGACTTACAGCCACACCATACGGCACAATAACAATAGAGTGGCAAATAAATTGAAACAAATATTGAATGCCTTTAATTCTACGATTGCACTTTTATTAGGGGCGGGCCATCAGCCCGGATAATGTCACGGTAGCGCATCGATTGCCAAGCACCTTTATGTAAGAGTGGACACCGTAGAGATATGCTCAGACCCACACACATACAGTACAAGCCCTGCAATTACAGAGCACTGGTATTCTGGTGGTAGCGCTGGCATCATAGACATCCTGCTAACTGATACCCTGATACCCCAACTGTGCCTAATTACAGGAAAGCTCGACCATCACTATAATGCACATGTCGTCCGACACACTGGGGTTGGTATGTGTTGGTTGGGCACAGATCTGCACTATTTTCACTGAATGCTCCTCTAAACCAGATTATTAACTTATCTCACATACAAACGAGACATACATTGAATTCAATTCTCTTAATAACATATCAAAAGTGACTCAAAAAAGCTATAAAAACAGCCAAATAATAGAGTAGTTGTGGAGCACAATGACATACAGTGAACGACTGCGAGCTATAAGTAAGCCATAGCTAGTGATGATAATACACGCAATCCTATTATATAAGATGATGGTATCATTGAATCATTTCAAATCTTGTTAGCATTAACTCATACCTATCACGCTATCAGCCCCACCACCATCATACTCTCTCTCTCTCTCTCTCTCTCTCTCTCTCCTGACACTAACGACTAAATTATATATAAAATATTTAATTCATTTAATTAATTGTATTAAATAAATATAATTAATAAGAAAAATATTGTCATTTTATACATTAGCTAAATTATCGTAAAGTTAATTAATTGTGAAAATAGGCTCGAAATATATGACAGTATTTGTTGTTCACAGTATCTAATCATTGGAAATATGACTTAAAAAGCTAATTATGAATACAATAAACTCTGAATGAATTTAGAGCTTAAACGATAACATATAGATAATAAAGTTTTTAAGCAAATAATAAAAAGCAAATCAATTTGAGTTGACGTTTACATTATACGCACACACATTGCAAAACCAAACCATAATTTTCATTTTCAATGAGTAATGAAATAAAAAAATATTCTGTAAATAAAGGTTAGACTCCGGCAGTCCGGCCCCCATAGTCTAGTCGACGCTCAATATATTTATTGAATCAATAATTTGAGTCATAATTAATTAGCTGTGAAAACGAGGTATTCGTATATTATATACGGCATATATCTGTTGTATGATTTACGAGTAATTTATTTATAGATTAAATCAATTTATTGGCACAAAAAATGATAATTAATGTATATTTTGTTGAAAATGTGTTTTTCATAATTGAAGCCAATATTTATTGATAATATAATTAGGAATTAGAGTAATAAAAGAGAATTTATGGGAACAAATGTAGTGACAGTTTAATGAACTAAAAAGCTTTATATTTAAAGGGATGATGTGCTAAATGGTTGATCAATTGGTGATAGCATTGGTTACGGGATATTTGCTTTAATTACGGCATATATTGATGAGAAGCCAATTAGTTCAGCAAATATTGGGTCAGTTATCACATCGCAGAGGGTTGACAATCGGGTCTCTCAAAGGAATATTATGTGAAAAGTTGCTTGAGCACTACTTTATAGCTCAATAAAAGGGATTTTCCCGTAAATTTTCGCTGAATCTCATGTCATTTGTGTCCCCAAACACAACATACAGTTATCAGTGCTGTTGGCAATCAAGTGAGAGCTCTGTGGCACTCATCATACCTGTGGCCCCGGGATTGCGGCAGTGCTCGGGTGGCTATGGAGGCACTGACACACTCTATCATAAGTCTATAGATTATGTCTAATTCACTATTTTATTGACGAGAAATCAATTACAACGAGAGATATGTGAAGAGTGAACACAAGAACGGCTCACAAAACACTTCTCGCAAACAGTTTATGGCTTTCAATACAGAGAGAGAGAGAGAGAGAGAGAGAGAGAGAGAGAGAGAGATGTGAAGAATGAAGCCATTGGAAGCACTGTTTCGAGAAAATAGCCGCCGGGTCTGGAATGGCATTTATTTGACACAACGTTTATTGAAGAGTTGAATACAGAAATAAAGCCTTATATGCGAACAGTCCGTCCAACAGCTCAGGGAGAGAGAGAGAGAGAGAGAGAGAGTCCGGGCATTTGTCGCATGAAATTTATCTCAATCTCACCTACGTTTGCAACGATTCCGTAGGTATATGTATATTGATCTTTATTACAGGGCAGGCCTGTGCCCCTGTCCTCTCTCTCTCTCTCTCTCAATAGGACCAATGCATTGGCAGTCTATGCGATCGGCATTTGCAAAAAAGTCACTCAAACAACAAATCTTATCTCAGTTTAAGTGTATTTTTCAACAACACTATACACTATACGGCGAACGAGAAAAAAACTATACATTAATTCGAGTTGAGAGACCATTAGACCATTAGACCACCCGGACTTCCACCCATTCCTCCCATTCCACATATCACTCAATTGTATGGAAATCATAACATTTTTATAATATGTTTCTTAATTTCTATGTTACAATCAAAAGCCCGTGTTATCTGATTAACAACTGATAAGAGGTATTTAATAATGCAAACAATGCTTTAGAAAAAAGCTATTTGTGTTTCAATTGCAATAATGAGTCAGAAAAATATTTATTAGTTAATAACGTTTAGGCAACCATTTGTGTCGACATAATAAATAATAAGCAAATATTTGTCAAAATAAATATTTAAACCGCATTTCAATAATTACAATACAGATTATGCCCACTATTTATATGTGTTGTGAACCTAAAACCTAAAGTCAATATCCATTGAGAGTATATCACAGTTCCTGTCATTCATTTCGTCACTCAGAATAAGTACTAAATATTTAGGGAGTCGTTGTAACTGTGAACTATCCATACCTGTCCCACCAAATAGTTTCACTATTCTCACTAAATTCCCTACAAATAATCCATTTTCTCATTATTCATGAAACTATTAATTATTAATAGTATTACACCGGAGAGAGAGAGAGAGAGAGAGAGAGATTACTATTTCAAATGAATGATAAGAACTTAATACTGGAATAGCAGTGAATTGTGAGCCAAATAACAAAAATCACTCATTCATTGATATTTGTGTTTATTAGAGGAGAGCTCACAATGTTTTATAATAAGTTGTTATATGTTATCGGATAGGTATGGTGTATATGGCACAGGGATGTATGTGTGCGGTCATCTACCCATGTCTATGCATAAGCGTCGCAAAGTTTAGGCAAAAAATGCATTACTGTTGTGAGACATAGAGCGGAATATGTAGCGATTAGTGTGTATTATATTATACTATATTATACCTGCAATAAGTGATATCCGATTTATACCTGTCTCGTAGGGAAGGCGACGCGTGAGGTTGCAATACATTGCACAATACGGTACACAATGTAATATTAGAAACTACAGGAGCACAATACACACACAGCCAGGTCTATGCATAGGCACTGCACTGTAAGCACTGTAAGGGCACTGTGTGTGTGCTATTTGTGCAATCAATATATTACAGGCATTTGTATGAATGTATACTTAAAACTCAAGAATTCAATATTGAATTGTTATGTGTGTTATGTGTTATTGAAATGTAATGCTCTATGAAATGTATTAATTGATTAGAAAAAAATGTGCACATATCACATATATGCACACCGGTATACACTTACCTCCATGAGCTGTGTTGGGTTTTGATTTAATCCAGGGTTGACAACACCTACTCATTAACTCATTCATTAAATAACACACGGATTCATATTTTGTCCATTTATTGAATGACTTCAAACAAAACCGAAGTCCAGTGGAGAGTGTGAGGGGACTGGCGGTGGCGGTGGGCCTCTTATCAACATTGTGGTCGTGTTTAGCACTAGTATTCACTTTCATTAAATTCTGTGTCACTTGAGACGAGGATGTGTGACAACTGTCAGCGCAGTTGCCCTCCCTTTCCTCCCTTTCCATAGTCTGTTGGGCTAAGGATGACAGGGAGGACGTGGAGGATAGAGATGAGGAGGCTGTGAGCCGTGAGGGCTGAGCAGCCAATGTTCCGGTCGCTGAGCAACCCTTTGACGACTTTCCTGTCTTTCTGTGTCTCGATTGGCGACACAGAAGCCGATGACTCGAGTCATCGATGGATAAGTGGTTTCTCTTTCTGGCGTTCATTGTATTCATAATTAATTATTAATTAAATAAAACTTTTTAACTGTTTTACGAAAACAAAACTTTTTATCAAATAAGACTTAAACTGCATTTAAATGATATAATTATATAGTAATCCGTTTGGATCGGGAAACTCGTAACTGATATAAAACTCGTGAGTGATATCCATCTGAGAGTACATGGAATACATGATTGGATTACTGGCCAGAAGTCATATCAAACTTATTAATCAAACGCTTATTAAACGAATCAATTGTTTTGCAAACTCTCGCCGAAAAAGAGAGAGTTTTGCGAAATGAATATAAATATGATTTGGTTTTGAATGGATGGCAGAGAACACAGTGAGAGAGAGACTGAGAGAGACTGAGAGCACCGATAGAGTGAAGTGATCGACACGTATGGCTCGGTTGCGGAGAACATGCGGTTCTGCACTCGACAGCAGTCTATGCATTAATGCAATGCCTGTGCGATAGCTGTTCCACAATCGAGTCGAGCCGATAAGGGAAAGACATGCGCGAGGGTTGCCCTTGGATTGCGAGTTGCACTGGGATTGTGCAGACAATTGTGTGCACCAGGATTGTGCACTGGTCGGTTTATGCTCATCAACTACACTGGAGTACCACTTACTCAACGCCGACCTAAACCAACTGTGCTCTCTCTCTCTCTCTCTCTCTCTCGCCGTGTGTGTGCCTTGTGTTCGGGAGAGAGAGAGAGAGAGCACAGTGAAAGGCACGCTTGACTGCCAAGTTTCGGGGACTCAGGGAAGCCCTCAATCGGGATATTACTGAATAACAATATAATTATTATCATTAAAATTCAGTTTAAAATTCAAGAGTTTTTTGAGAAAAAAATAGAAGTGAACTATAGATTAGGTTATCAAACATATTGTGTTCATTCAACTTATTTACGGCTTTTATGTATAGCTCTTATGATATGCAACCAGAGGTCAGAAGTCAATGAAAAAAAGTTGGATATCCGGGCCAACATAGAAAAAGTCCAATTAGTGTAAAAATTGGGAGGTGTGAGCGATATAGTCAGCTGTGTGTGTGTGTTTGTGTGTGTGTGTGTGTGTGTGTGTGAGAGAGAGAGAGAGAGAGAGAGATGTGGGGTAAGGCTTATGTGGAGCTAGTGTACTGTATGTGTGTCTCTCTCTCCCTCTCCCTGTGCTCTCACTGATGATGTGATGGTTTGTTTAAAGCAAACTCCGTATGAGATGTGGAGAAAAGGTAATAAAATGACTAATACAAAGAGTACAGTTACTATAATTCTAGCACTTGTATCATATTAGCTAACCATAAACTTAAATGAAAGGAATGTAAGAATGTGGGCTGAATACAGGCCTCGGGCTAATCAACAGTATAACTCGCAAAACCAATCAATACGATCGCATCCCATCCCCCACACCATAGCACTACTCAACACACAATTCATATTCAAAGCGAGTTATTGGAGCGTTAAATGGCATCCAATAATCAATTCATTACAGCATTGCATTTGGCAATGAATTTTGCCATACATTTCAATGTTTATTCATTAATTTGGAAATTATTTTGTGCCAAAAATCAAATTATATAACATATGTATAAAAGACATTGCATTTCAATAATAAAACATTTGATTACATAAATAAATAATAGGAAAACTTTTTTATGTCGTCAGTCTCTCTGTCTGCCTCTCTCTCTCTCTCTCTCTCAGGCTGTATGTGTGTGAGCACAGGTATCCTGTGCACAGGCACTATGAGCGCACAGGTATTCGATGGCTCCTGTGTCCTGTGGGAAGATGAAAGTGCAGTTATTTGAGTGCAGACACGGGAGCGGCTCATCATTTGCTCATAGCATGCGGATGACCCTGAGGTAGCGCACAACCGGCACAACCATTTCATATAACTTAACCAAAACTCTCTCTCCAACTTGTATTACAAGAATTGGCCATAAATTTCAATTTCAAATATTTTTGAGTTAAACAAATCTCCGCTTTTTCTCTCTCTTCATGAACACAGTGTTTAAAAGCGATACAAACTGTTTATAACAGGCATTCATATGACGAATGCATCGCAACAAACACTGTGTGTCTCTTAATTCAATGCAAATCTCTCTATAATCTGATTCACTGATCACTGGTTCACACGTTTTTAAGAGAAATAATTTGTTAGATAAATGCGTTGCACAGGCGATGGTGGCGGAGGCGAGAGAGAGCGAGAGAGAGAGAGAGAGAGAGAGAGCTTGTAAGTGAGCCTCACTTGTGCGCTGATGAGTGCGAGGGAGAGAAAGGGAAAGGGAGTTCAGCACTTTCCAGGACTACAGGTTCTGATTCTCTTTAATTGCATAATAGCTTAGAATATAATAATAATATCGATAAAAATGTTGATAATATAGCGTAATATAAGGTGTATTTCCGCTGCAAATCCGGCTCCTCGTTCATGTAGGGATAGAGTGTTAGTGTTGCAGTTGGATGACTGAAATGACTAATAAATGAGTTTCGTATATACAGGTATCAAATAGTATATACAGGTAGAAAATAGTATAAAATAGTTAAATCAATACATTAATAGCATTTAAAGCGGAAACACCACAAACACAGCACTACAGCAATGCAAAGGTGGAGCCGATTGTTATGAAAAACAGGTAGAGATTGAGATAAAATGCACATAAAAATGCATTTGAGAGAGAATTTTCGGAATCACGACTTGACAATCACACCCACACAGGTAGGGGAGGGGAGGCAGGGTTGACAGCCCAGGCTTTTATGCGACAAAAAGCGTCTCCCCATTAGATACTGGTATTACAAGCACTGGTAATATAATAATAACAATTAGATTTAGCATTTGATTGATTGCCTGCAAATGACTGTTATTGAAAAATAAAGCAATAATTCATAATTACTATTGGATTGTGTTATTAAATTCGGTGCAAAAGTATTAAGGATTTAGTGATTTAGTGTATAAATATTAATAGCATTTCTGACAGATGTTGCTAACAGTAATAGGCCTGCAATGGTATGGTATGGTATGGTATGGTATGGTATGGTATGGCATAGCTCTACAGCAATGCTACAGCAGTGCACCAAATGCACTGTAAGGCACTGTAAGGTCGATGTTTGCCAACAGCAATGCCAGATCCCTGTCCAATGCCAGATCCCTGTCCATCTCATGAGTGTTGGCTCGAGTGCCGATTTGAAAGAATTTGCTGGTATTGAAAGTAAAGCACATTTAGCCGTAGCCTAACTGCCTGTGCGACACAAATATTATGCTTCACATTATTGTAATGGTTTTGCACACCAATAGACCAGTGCATCTGTAACTATTCAAAATGAACTGGGATTGGCATTCACTCCATCAACATAATAGCAATGCCACAGGCAGGCCATACACAGCACAGGCTCCCGATATGCCCGTCCACAACCAGCTCTATATACACTGTGGCTGTAGTGGCTGTAGTGGCACATACCTGCACACACACACACACATACACACATACATGCATACTGGTGGTAGAGTACATGGATGGGCACAATGCCACCCTCACACCGACACACTCTGGCCCCTATAGCTCTATTGCTCACCTCATACCTTATCCCAACTTAGGACACATTACTATATTGTTGTATAGTTGGACAGCAGCCCAATAGCCATACCGTGCCTGTCGTCCCTTTGAGCGTTTGGCAATAGACCCCCAACAACAACAAAAGTCTAGGTTTTGCTTATTCTTTGGCATTCATTGTATGGAAACAACAGCTGAAAGCTCTCTACACTCTCTACACTCTGTACAACACTCTGATGATCAATAGGCAGGTGGGGAACAGTAGGTCACGCATCGATGGACACACCGACCGACCGATGGACGCTACCGGCGCTCACACACACACACACTCACTCACTCACTCGCAGCTACTGTAGCCAACGCTAAGAACTACCGGAGCTATTGGAGAAAGAGATAAAAAGAAACTCGTTTTTGGCTCAATAAATGCCAATTGTGAGCCACTTATAACAGCTCTGGTAGTTATGATGGGGTCATCTGCACAACCATTTCAATGTATTTACCTACTTGTGCCCGAGCATTGAACATGAGTGTAGGCATAAGGCATAAGCCATAAGGCATACCAATACCGTAAACAAGCGTAGACTATAAGAGAAGCATATTTTCAATTTAACACTTTCTATGATTTGCATTCATTTCTATGGTTTGCATTGAGATTTACAGCTGGAAAGAGGCATTATTTGCCATTATTTGCTATTATTGATGCACACAATACCCGTCCACAGCACTGGTACTGCAATCAGATTCTTGCCAATAGTGTCGACAATAAGTCCAATACAGGACTGGATTAACAAAACTACTGTTAACTGCATTGCACTCTACAAGTGACACGCGAACGGCACACGAAAAGGGAGTCTGTGTGCTCTACTCCTGTACTCATGGCATACCGGTGTCCCCATTGCCCCCTATGCCCCACACCATAGCTGGGGAGACCTATTTAAAAAGGACTCAACACCACGGTGCAGGGGTAGCGACCAGTGCACACGTATGTAACTAATAAACTATATATAATATAATAATACAAGATTAGAGTGCATATGCATATCGTACAGTGCCTTACAGTGCCATACAGTGCACATGCATTCATATGTAATGGTATGGTATGGTATGGTATCGTATG